TTCAGCTACACTGAGAAAGCTCTTGAGAGGTACTTAGCAGTCAATGTTACATAACTCACACTTAACTCGTAAAAATACTTCTTGTGGCACTAACCTCTTTTTGTTCAATCATTTTCAAACTTTCACATAAAGGAAGAAAACAAAAGAAAGGAATGTCCATAAGATATTTGTAAGTTATTAAAATTAACTCTCAATAGTCAAATACATGGTGACGGGAGGAGGTTAGACTTTGGGTGGTAAGCACACAATGCAATATACAGATGATCCTATATAATAAAAATCGAATATGCAAATTGACCAAACGGCGGAATGACCAGTTGCTATGATGCACACTGACCACCAGGGGGCAGATGCTCAATGCAGGAGCTGCCCCCTGGTGGTCAGTGCACTCCCACAGAGGGAGTGCCATTCAGCCAGAAGCTGGACTCACAGCTGGTGAGCACAGCGGCAGTGGCGGGAGCCTCTCCCACCTCGGCTGCAGGCGGGTGGTAAGGAGCGAGGGGTTCCAGACTGCAAGAGGGTGCAGGCCGGGCTGAGGAACTCCCCCCTCCAGTGCATGAATTTCATGCACCAGGCCTCTAGTGTATTATAAAATTGTACATCTAAAACTTACATAATGTTATTACTCAGTATCACCCCAATAAATTTAATTTTCAAAAAATCTCAATAAACAAATTTACTTCAATATGTATGGCTTCTAATTTTTCTTATGGTTTAACTTTAACAAGGAAAAGTTGATGGTATATTATCCTACAGCTACCTAGGAGGAAGGTGTATACTCTTTGCCTAGCATAAATATAATTTTGAATGGTTGCAAGCCAACCTTAGGAGTCCATGCTTATTAAAGACCACACTACCCAAATACCAAAGAGACAAAACAAACTAGCCAACAGATAAACCTAATCCCTAAAAAATATAGACAATGCATATCCATATCCACTGCACACTTAAACCCTCCTAAGGGTATCTCTCAAGAAATCAATCAAGAGCCCTTGGAACTTACTTGTTAAATGTTACTTCACATGCTATATAATTAGGGCAAAGATATATTTATTTTGGTTCTATCTGTTGAAAGCATCCTTCAGTCATTAGCCTCCAGGTGTATACACATCAAAAGGGAGACACTCAATATATGTTACACTGGGGAAAATTACAAGGTGGAAACGAACGTTGCTAGTCAAGAAAACATTCCATCTACAGTAAAATTTAGAGCCAGAGGGCTTGTTCTTACTCCAGTACCAAGCCCTGCAGCATGACTCTTTCCCAAACCAGTCAGAATCCAGTCAGTTTTAAAGGGAAAAAGGACAAACTGAACTATAGTGAATTTAGTTTAACAACTATTCCAAGATTCAATGAGGACAGGGCTTTGGTAAGACTTTAAAATAAAAGAAATTGATGCTCTTCCTTTTGTTCAAGCTTGTATTCCCATAAATCTCAAAGTTACTCTCTTTCACACCTCTAACAGTTAGTTGTCCATACAACTGCAATATATGAAAATTGGAATAAAATTATTGTGCACAGGAGGAAAGCATCTAAAATATGGGAAAGTTTTGGTTAAAAGGCAATTATCAAAGTCCATACATTCATCTATGACTTCATACAATTTACATCTACATGTAGTTAATCTACCTATGCCTAACCTTGACCCCCACTGGCACTTAACTTAGCTTTCCTGAGACAAGAGAGGTTAACTTAAGGAACTTGGTGAGAGACAGAGAAAAAAAGCTCTAAGGCATGTTGCCTAAAGAATGCTTTAGGAAGATTAGTATCAACCCAACCAAGATCAAAACAAGTGGCAGTCACAGATATCCCTCAAGCATCATGTCTGTTTGCTCGCTGATTTCCTCCTCTCACTTGAAAACCTAAGGAAAAGATGCAGATTTTGGAAAAAGGGACGGAAAGAAACTGTATACATCTGACCCCTAAAGGTGGGGGTTAGGGAAATGACCTCCACGCAGTCAAAAATCCACAATAAACTTCTGGCTTCCCAAAAAGTTTTCCCTCAACATCCTTGGGGGACTGGTTCCAGGAACCCCCTGTAGATATTAAAATCTGAGGATGCTCAAGCCCCTCTATAAAATGGTGTAGACCAATGCATGATCCCAACCGCGGAATGAAACAGTACAGGTATTTATTGCATATAAAGGGACCCATGCAGTTCAAACCCATGATGTTCAGGGTCCACAGTAGTTGAGGTTTCAGAGAATTTAACAACCAGCTCAGTTCTGTGTTGCAACGATCACTATTTCCACTATAACAGCAGAGAAGCTTCAAAGAATTTGGAAATCAAAATACAGTTAGGAAAGTGAAAAACTAATGTCAGGAAGATGTCTAATCATCACACCCTTCCAGAGAAAGGTTCTCTAGAAGCAGAGTGTTCTTTTGCCCAATGAAAGACAAAGTTCTCTACTCACCACCAAGAATATGCCAAAACGCGATGTTATTTCCTCGGAAGAGGAACAGACCTAGACTAGAACTTGGGTCTGAAGCAAGTCCTGTCCTAAAGGACCCTCTTGAGGTCTCCTTTATGGTATATCTAGTTTATATCTGGACTCTGCTACAAAAGCCACAATAAAGGCACGAGGCCAGCAACTATGTAAGTATGCATATATATGAATGAAATGATCGATCTTGTTAGCTGTAGCCTTCTACAAAACTATTTGTTTAGTTCCTTTAGCTCCAATAATGAGTAAATGATTTAGAACTTTAAGATTTTATAATGTTAAATAAACGTTTTAGTTTTAAATTTAAAAACAAACAGCTGGATCCAAAGTTAACTTACAAAGGGAAAGGGAAATGATAATTCCAAAAGCTTCTATTGGAAGGAAACACCAGCCACAGACTTTGAGTTATTCAGAAAGAAAAGAATCAGGTGCCCCAGTACAAAGCAAAAGGTCACTACTGCATTCTATATCTGAGTGCCCTTACTCTCAAAAAAATTAAGGATATATTGCCAGGGAATACTAGAAACTAGTATGTAGGACATTAACAGAGAAAAAAGCACCTATCTGCAGGAAGGTCAGAGGAAAATGATCGTAAGAGCTCCAACCACCTGCTTTGGTGAGCTCCTCTTTCTTGCGATGGAAAGTAAGAGGAAACAGAATGAGTGGCTACCAGAGTAAAAACGTCAAAGACAAGGGCAGGGGACATAAGGTGAATAAGAAAGGATGGGCTCTCTCTGCGCCATACCTTCAAGATCCTATCGTCTCTGAAACCTTGAGCAAACCTACTGTTTTACTAGAGGAAAGAAAGCCTCAAGGTTGTGGAAATTATAATTACATCTATAAAAAAATGAGGACAACTTCATGAGAGCAAATCCAAGCACTGAGGGAGAAGGCAGACGGGTGAAGAGAAGAACATACTAGATTCCGTAAGAAGAAAAAAGATACAGCGCTGAAGACTGCTGAGGAGAATGGAGATAATGAGAGCAAACACCACCTGCCCGTCAACCAGCAACCACTACTTAAATTGAGGATGCAATGGGCAAGTAAGGATGGAAAATGGGGGGGGGGGGGGGGGGGTCGGTACCAGAAAAAAATTTGGTTCCTACAAAAAATGGGTCTAAAAAATTGGGGGGGGGGGGAAAGAAACCTGGGGGGGAGAAAAAATAGATAAGTTTCTCCCGGGGTAAGGTGTAGAATTGGAAGGGATGCGCGAAAAAAATGCCGTCCGACCCTACTTGAGTAACTACCATACAATGATACTTATTTTTCTAAAACGAATTATGTTGTGTTGTAGTCAGTAGGGTTCCAACGAATCTAGGATTTCCCTGTATTAGGTTTGTCTCCGAAAACGCAAAAAAAGTCGGTTGTTTTTTTTTTTTTTTTTTCATATGACTATAGACAGAGATAATAAGACATTGTCATCGTAACGTTAAAGTTGATATTCCTTAGCAGAC